TATCACTGAAAAGGTAAACGAATTATGAGATTCAACATAGTATTTTTGCTTCATGAATTTGTTATTTTATTTTATATTGCAACCATCGTAGAGCAGCCTACCCAATTTTTTGTTTTTGCGACTACTAATGTTCAACTACGTAGCCTTGTAATTTTGAACCCAATCCAGAAGACAAAGAAACTCCTGGATCAAGTATTGGGAGAAATGGAGGTCTTTTTGAGGGAACTAACCCGCATTTGCGTTACATGGAGAGGAAAAACCATGAAAACCTCGAATGGTTAGCCCGACAACAAGGGGACTCTAACCCATGATCCGTCTACCACTGAGGATATTTCACGTCAGCACTTTGGTCGGTGCAAGCCGGAGGCGGAATTCGTATCGAACAGCCATCAATGGGATTCGAACCCAGGTCACCCCATTTTAAGGCGAACGCTCTATCCCCTCAGCCATCGCTGCTCTATATTACCACTATATTTCTTACAGCTATGCATGTTACCCTTATATATGCTACCACTATATAATGCTCTATCCCCTGAGCGATCGCTGCTCAATATAATAAACAGGAACTGGCGACATTCGAATTTAGGATCTCCTAAATATGGATTGTTTTGTAATTGTTCTTAATTTTTGAAACACACATTTTATACCAATTGCTTCATATGATTTCATTCATGCTTAGTGGCAAATAAGTGCCGTAAAATGTTAATCCTTAGTATGTTTTCTTTTATTTAAGGACTTAGTATTCTTAAATATTTTTATTTAAGAATATAAATTCCTACTAATTTGAATATCAAGACGAAATAATGTTTTCTTAAGTTACATTTGCTGTAAAAAATTCGAAAGTGTCTGAGATATTCAGAAAAAAAGTATCCCCTCTTAAAAAAAATATAACTATAGTGACTTGCCCCCCCCCCTCCTTGGTACCACTTTGGGCCACCCCTAATCGTAGCAGTGTAAATAATTATTCTTAATTGTGTATAATTTGTATCATAAAATGAATAAAATAAATAAACTTGAGCAAGACCCCATTAACATCATTCCTGTAAACTCGAACTGAAGCTACTCATCTTCTTTACGTAGTAGTTGCCTTAAAATAGGCTTGTCAGTATTAACAAGCGGAATAAGACAACAAGATATGCCTCTTTGACCTCATTACAGTTTGTCTAAAGCAGTGTTTCCCAAAGTGTGGTACGCGTACCCCCAGGGGTACGGGAACAGTTTAGCGGGGGTACGCGCTCTTATGCAAAATATCTTGCAACATATGAAAATTTCAAAATTTTTTATTTAAAAAAAAAAATAACCATGAAAATTTACGATTACGTATTTTTCTAATGGCTATTTTTCGCAGAGTGAACAGTTAATAATTAGTGGTGTCAACAGCCAGTTGAGATTTTTAACTTTTGCGCATTTTTTGTAGTAAAAAATACATTCATTTTTTTATTAGGGGTATACAGCGTTACGAAAAATTTAGAAAGGATACACAAAATTCATAAGTTTGGGAGACACTGGTCTAAAGTAAGAACTCTCCTAGCCATTCGTCTGCTCCTGTGGCGGTGACTATGGTAACGAGGTATAACTATTTCAAGTAGGGTTATGGGGTCACTGTTTAGGACAGGTTTTGGCCAAAATAATTTGAGACCAAGGCGCAAGATCCACATTTCCCTTAAAATGACTCCTGACATTTTACATGTGTTAAATCTCAAGAATTATGCCCTTAATCATAAGAAGATTAATATTATCGGCTCTTGTGGTGTAGAATAGGGGGACCCTTCGGTTTTTGGTGATAACCTTCGTTCAGTTTTGATGAAATCTCATTTTTGGTTACCATGCTATATTTTGAATTGAAAAAATAATTTTTAATCTTTTTGGGATGAAAGATTTGTAACTGCAATATTTTTGCTTCATTGAAAAAAGGTCTTAAGTACAAACATTTTGGTGACTATGAAAAAAAAATTCCGATGCAAGATTGCAGTAAAATTACATGCTTTGTGCAATATTGAGTAAAAAATAAAATAAATTTAATTATATTTTAAAATATTTCAACCACTGTTATTGCTTTTCGTACTATACAGTTTAACATAATTTAAAAATATTTACAACAATACTTAAGTTTAATAAACTGTTACAGAAATACATTAAAAACTATATTTATATCATTGTTGGAACAATGGGTATGCTTTTTTAAAGCATTGTTGACAAAAAAAATCTTTTAAATCAGTCAACAAAGGTATAAAAAAAAGAATTAATTTCTCATTCTTATTTGATATTTCTCAAGAGAACTACTTACTTTTTGAGGAAAAATTCCAAAAGGCGCTTTATTGAGTGAATTATGAGTGAATATTACATATTTGATCTCTTGAATAATTGGGAAAAGGAACGGGAGAAATATCCCAGACCTAATCGTATGTATCAAAATCATATTTTTCATATTTTTGTATCTTTAAATAAACCTGACTAGAATAGTTAAGGACTATCTAAAACTTGTGTACTGTATAAATGCTTAAAGATTCTGTAACAGAACAAAGAATTTTGTAAAGGTATAATACACCAACACATAAATAAGTTATGTAAGATTCGTTTATAGCCTTTTTTAAACAACTAATGTGTAACTTAAAAAATTATGTCAGTCAAATTCATTTTTATGTTTTATTTTATAACTGTCGTTAAACAGCCGACGCAATTTTTAGGTTTACGACTACTAATGTTCTACTTCGCAGTAGCCTTGTAATTGTGAACCCGAACCAGAAGACGAGGGAACTCCTGAATCAAGTATTGGGAGAAGTATGCTTTCGTGGAGGACTTTTTTGATGGAACTAACCTGCATTTGCGTTACTTGGAGAGGAAGACCACGAGAACCTTCCACGGTTAGCCTGACTGCAAGGAGACTCTAACCCATAATCCGTCTACCACTGAGGATATTTCACGTCAGCACTGTGATCGGTGCAAGCAGAATGCGGAATTCGTATCGACCAGCCATTACGGGGATTTGAACCTGATTCACCTCATTGGGAGGCGAACGGAGACGTTTTTGTAATATTTGAGGGATTATTTTTAAAATCTTTTTTTTTTCGGAGGGGGGGGGCATTTCTTTCTAGCTAAAATTTATTACATAATCATCAATGCAGATCTTCTCAATTACTTAAAACAATAAATAAGAGAAACGCATTACTGGAAGTAGTTTAGATTCTTTCTTTTTTTTGCCTTTCTTTTTTTTAAAGTTAGAATTTTTTTTGAGTGATGGATTAGATTTGTGGTGGGGGATACTTTTTGGATTTTTTTTTTTACAAGGTATTATTCTTTTTAGACAAATTTACTCAACCAATTTTACCAACTCAAAATTTACTCAATTCATAATTGCATTTAAAATGTACTATTTAGGATTGGGTGGACTGAAACATTAGTTTAAATTCATTTCTTAAGGGAAGATATTTTTAAAAAACCTTGTTTAGTAATTTTTGTTAATTGAATAATTTTATAAATGAGTTAGTTTGAAGGAACTTTTCAGATTTCATAATTTTCTTTTATACTCTTATATAAGCGTCAAAAGTTTTCTAATACTGATAATTACGTTTATGGTATTGTGACATGACAATCAGAAGAAAATAAAATAAAATTTAAACCAGTGAATTATTCTTTTCAAAAAGTCATTTATTATGACAAAATATTTCATCATTTTTATAAATATTTTTAACTTTTCATCTGATTAACATTATAGAGAGTATTGTTTACTGATACATAAGATATGATAATGTACCGTTCTAAAGAGATATGTAATTAAAAAGCCTAAAATTTAAAAAATTCCTTTCGCTCACTAATTTCTGGAAATAATTTTTTTTTTAAAAAAAAATATTTAGTTACATTGGAATAAATGTTTAATGACTTTAAATTTAGACTCAACGGCCTAGTTGGGATATTAAATTGACATAATTTTTTAAGAAAACAACACATAGTCTTCCTTTTCTGTTATATTTATTTTTTCCTCAGTGTTTTCTATCCATGTCTATTGTTTCAAAATGTTATTTTTATATTCTGAAAGTAATGTTACATAAAATATTTTTCGCAATAAATTTAATTGAAAGGAATGTACCCATCAGTTTGCGGGGGGGGGAGGGGGCACTCCTGGCTAAGCTTAATCTTACATAGTATTTCTTTTATTAGAATGGATTATGTGAATATTTGTTAAAAAAAAATAATAAAATAAAAATACAAGAGTATTTTTTTAAATAAATTACTAATCCATTTAAAACATTAATCTTTGTTTACTTACATATTTGAAAAAAGTATAGGGAAAACTAAAGAGTGCAATAAAACAAATAAAAAAAATCACTTTTGTTCAAATGTTTAAACAAACAAAAATATTTTAGAGTAAATGTTAAAAAAATTATGTATGTACGCAAATTAACTTAGAAAAATAGTGATAATATTAATCCCGTCAATTAAGATAGCAAACAAAATTAAAAAAAAAATATCTTTAATGCTTCTGCACTGCCTATTTTTTAAATTATAATTTCTTAACACCTTTTTAGAATAAATTTAATAGACACTTAGTTCAGCTATCAAAAGGTACCCCGAGTCAGAAAGTTGTGTTACATATTAATAAATTGGTATTTCACTAATCGTAGTGGTAGACTACTAGCTAGAATAAAATCTGGTAAAAGTACTTAGAAGAAAGAAAAAAAATAGTGATCTATCATGCTATTTAAGAAATTGAGTTTTAACAACAACAAAAAAACAGTAAATATGTAAAAAGCAAAAAATAAACGCTTTCGAAGATACCGCTATCAGAGCATATGCCAGTGTTGCCAGATAAAAAAAAGGAATCTTGTGCATCAAATGTTTGTTACCTAGCCATTTGTAGATTCGATAGTAGCTTTATTTTGATTTGAAAAGTCTGATTGGGAGAAATACATTCAAAATTTTATTTAAAACCTTTCTGATTTGATTCAAAACACATCTTAAATTCATTTGTAATTTCAGTTTATTAAATATGGCAACGTAATGTCACGAATTAAACTGAGGTGAAGAGATTTAAACGCGTTCATTTTTGGTAGCAGTCGTAGTTTTGGTATTTGCGATCTGTCGATATAAATTAAATTAATTATTCATGTTGCTTCGGAAAAAAACGTGAAATTCAATTAGGCGGGGAATAGGTATGGCTGCTGTTCATCCCCAGCCGCCCCAAGAATCTTTACCTCCTGGTTGGGAATGTCGATATGATCCAAGAACTGGTAGACAGTAAGTTAGCATTTTTTCTTCAATAAATTGATATCGGCGCGAATGACTGTGAAAACAAAGAAAATAATTATGAAGCAACTGTTTACTGTGCAATATCTGAATGTGTATTAAGTTATTGATTGAGGTTTCAATACAGTTATGGTGTGACACAAGTCTATGACATAAAAACCGCTTGTCCATAAATTGTTTAAAAAAACTCTCCAAATGTTGGCGAAAATTTTGATCCATCAGTTTCGTTACTGGTTAGTTTTGTGAGAAGCATTTAACGTTCGTGAAATATCGTTATTTATTTATGATACATGTGCTTTTGTTTATGTAAATTCTATAGGTAGCTTTACTGTATATCAAGTTTAGGAAGAAATGATTTTTTAAATTAAAAATATTGAACTGCTATAGTTACGTTTTGTAGATTTTGAATAGTGTAAAGCAGTTAAAAAAAAAACACTTATGCTGAATATTTTTAGATTGACCGATCTCTGTGTATAATTATAAATTTTATGTTGTAGTTAATATAAATGACTAATATTTCTTTCTAGGACACTTTTTATTGACAGTAAAATCAGCTGAAAAATAATTAGATTTTTCTAAAATGGTAATTAAAATATCTTGCCTAAAGTATCAGCTTTAACATTGAATATTTTGTAGAGTCCGATAAGTTGATTTTTTTTCTTTTTCCGCAAGTTAGGTGAATTTTTGCTTATTTAACATAAAATCCTGACAGTTAGAACAGGTTTTTGTTACTTAAACTCCACATTATTTCTGAAGTATATTTTTTCAGTTAAATAAACATCAAAACTCCTTTTTCATTAGAATTTTATTTTTAACTAACAACTTTTTTTTTAAGATAAAAATTACCTACTAATCTTATGTGATGGCTAGTCTGCACTTTTTGGAATAAAAAGAAGCTAATAATTTTTTAAGAAAGAGTTCAGTATTGGCACATGTGTCGAAATAATAGCCAAGTTTTGGCAACTTCTGAGCAGTGACGTGAGTAAAAACAAAAAGGAACATCATAGAGGAAACCAATACTAAAGTCATTACTCATTGCCATCTCCGATAAACAGCTGCATATGTATATATGTATTTTAGTTTTTGTAAATTGAAAAACCCCTTGGTTCTTTAGCAATTCTAATTGTTGTGAACAAGTACCAATATGGAAATATTTCTCTAACCACTTATCTGAATTTCTTTGCTTCAGAAGTCAAATTTGATGTGGTTAAAAGCTTTTAATTCCTATATATAAATTGATGAAAAAAATTTTTTATGCTCTTAAATACTTAGACAAATTGTCAAGATTAAAAAAATATATATATTGTAAATTATGAAATGTAAATAATTATTCAAAAAATTTGAATTGTAAGTTATATACATATATACAAATTTAAAAAAGACTTTAATATAGTTTGTTAATTTTATGAAATAATTTTAAAATGCTTTTTCTTTAATGAAACATTTTTACTGCTTTGAGCTTTTAACAATATTTTTTTTTTCTTTCTGTCAAATGAAGGGGGGGGGAATTGTTTTCTGTTATTTAAAAGTTTGATACATTCATCTAGTTTTTGATTATTTGTACTTATGCAAATTATTGAGGCTTCACTGTTTATAATTTAACAGAATCTGAGTAAAAAGTAAGAAAATTTAGTCACAGGTCTTAACTAGTGACAAAATGATTTCACTAGTCGACGCATATTTTCATCTGTCTATTCAACTTGCCTCTATTAAATTTATGAAAAATACTTTCAAATTTATAAAATAAATTTTATGCATGCGATATTGAATTTTTATAAACAAATTAAGAAACTCAAATTAATTTTTATATAAATCAGATTTTTTTTTATTGTGTTATGATTAATAGGTTTACTCAGGGATGCTCCAGACAGCCAATAATTATTTTAAAGTGGTAGTTTATCAATTCTGATTCTTGGTTTAATAAATTCAATGTAGTAGATTTTTATCCACCACTATTTTTAAATAATTTGTTGGCTTATATAATTCACCACTTTATTGTAGTTATGTTTTTTTTAAAATTATTTTGGCGTTTCCGGAGCAGTTGGCATCTCTGGTTTACCATAAGTAGAGCATTAAGTCAATGAAAGTTTTGAAACAGAAATTAGGGGATAATTTACAGATAATACCTGGTATGTAGCTGCTAACTCCATTGGATTTTTGAGTAGACAACCGAATTTTGTTAGTTTCTCCTGATCTACTAGTTTAATTAAAACTTTCCTCGTTTTTGTACATTTTAGAAAATTCCCTAAAATTTAGTAAGTTTTCTAAAAAATAAAAGAAATCACAATGGCAATAGTATTTTTGTACAGATTATTGCTTGCTCAAATATTTAAATAAGTTACTATCTACATAATGAAGGGAACCTCATTTTTAGAAATCAGGTCAAAACTTTTCTTCTGAAACGTTCAGTTTATTCAGAATTTTCTTATTAAATAACTTTGATGAATTAAATGCCTGTTAAAAATCAAAATTATGAGTAAACATAACACATCAAACTTCAAGTATGTTTGATGTCAATCTTAACTGGAAAATATTGCAGTTTTTCTATTTTGATGACTAGAAAAATCTCTAGGTATAATTCCCTTTGTGTAAAATATTTAGTACAATCTGCAACAATTATCATGAAATTTATATTATTTCATAAAATGTATTGGATTTTTTCCTATCCATGTTTGCAGCTATGCTAGTATATTCAAAATTATAGTCAAAAATACAGAGTTAAGATTTTCTGACATAAACATAGGCCTAAACTTGAAGAAAGAAGTTAAGAATGTTTGGTTATTGGCCGAGGGGGCCGACTGGTTAACATTTAACGGGGGACACTTCAGTCTTTCATGGTCTTTAATTCCTGATAAACATCTAATAACTGATTCGTTTACTTTTTTCTATAGTTATTTTTTGAACCATCTGGAACATATAACAACATGGGAAGATCCTAGGTTGAGACCATCTCCTGTTCAGCAGGTATGCCAAAATGACAATTTATTTTAATAAAAATGTTATTTAAATATATATTGTACTTTATACTTTTAATCTTGTAAAATAGTTTTCATCCATGTCTTACTTTCTGAATTTTATTTTTAATAGGCTTATTTAAGAGCATATGAAATATATGCCTTTAAGATTACTGTTTTGTTTGTTACCTGTTAAATTATTTTTTAATGTTGATATATAAACTGAAATATCGATAACTGTGGATTTTTAATAATAGACAATGTATGTATGAATGGATGAAACTTTTTAACCAAGTATATTTCTATTTGGTCCTTATGCTTGATAGCTTAAAAAAAGGTTTAATTGGTTTGATTTCTTAATGAGTTCGATTAACTACCCTTTGTTTGTTATGTTTTTTATTTTTTTTTATTGGATCATCTTAATATTTGTAACCATGTGAACCGTTTTTCTTTTTTTTGAGGCTATACTATGAATAATTTTTTATAGAGATGTTTTGGAGTTAATTTTACTTGCATATCATCCCTGTGGCAGAATTTTTTCGAGTTATCTGCGACAAAACTATGTAGAACTAATATCTTTCTGCTAGATAGTTTTAATAATAACAAACATATATGTTACTAATTTAAAATGACAAAAGCGCTGTGTTTACAATAAAAACTGTAATAAAAATAAATTTTTTAAAATTGAAAATGTAATAATTTTTTGATCTAATATTATGGGCGATGTTTTCGTATTTTGTTTGGGGGGGGCACAAATTATTTCCTTCTTCACATTTTGTAAGTAATCATCACAATAAAGAAAATAATTAAAAATCATGAAATCCGTAGTAGTAATTGCTGAAAAAAAGATCGACTGAATCACATGAACCAGGCTCCTCAAATGCTTGTTTTGTTTCGAGATTAGGTTGCTGTTATAAATGATATATTAAAAAATATCAGATTTTAAAATCTATGGAAAATTAGTGACAATAGCAGCTGAAAAATCCATAGAATTATTGCCTTAAAAAGTAAATACTCAACTGCTAGGGGTCTGTCCAGACCAAATTTACTACCGTCTAGCGGTACCTTCACAAATTCAACTTAATCAAAAATGGTAGTTTCATAAAATACTTTTTCTTAAAATTTTATTTTTGTATCCCTTAAGAAACGATAAATCCATACTTTTGCGTTGATTTTTTAATATAATTTTTCACAAATTACTGAATTTTCTAATTCAAAATAGGTATCTCTCAGAAAAACCTAGACAGACCCCTGAATGCATGATTCGAATTTTCCATATTGTTTGAAATATATCGGAATATTTAAAAAAAAATGTGAAAATAATTTTCAATAATTGCTGAAAATACAATCAAAACATTATATCGATTTACGATACTATCAGCGTAAATTGAGCTCATAAAAAAGTGATCATCTAAATGCATGATTCAAATATTTAGTGTAAATTTCTGTAGAAAAGAAAACTAAATTTTTTTACTTTTTAAATGCAAAATCTTTCTGCATGAACTCTTACATTCTGCTACAATGTTGCCATGTCAGTGCGATTCTGCCACGGGTGTATCTAATATAATCAGGGTTACCACCCCACAGGAAGTATAGGGAATGCCTGGAAAATAAAGAGAATGTTGAAATCACTTAGAATAACAGGGATAATGCAAGGAATTTTGAGTTTTTCCTTACTAACTAGGAATTTTATTTCTTATTTTTGTCTTTTAAAAGTGGTGACCACTCAAAACACAATCTAGGATTTTTAAGGACGATATTTCAGCTATACTAAACTATTTCATTCACTATAGCATTATATGTTTTAAGTATGTAACTACTTAAGTAATTAATAACTTACATGTATGTGCCAGTGATATTTGGTATTATGTGATCCAATAATTTTTTTTGTAAGTAAGGCTTCAAATTTACAAAAATTTATTTAATTATTAGTCTGTTTTACTTAAATTTTAGTTCTTTGAAAATATCATAAGCAAGTAAAAATTTCTTCAATATTATTATTCATCAAAAATGTTATTTTTTTACATGCTATTAAGTACTACAAGCTAACGGAAACTTGTTAAAGATCTCCCTTTTGGTTATTGTTGTTTTTTGATGGCATGCTTTGTTGTTGTATTTTATGCATTGCACTACCTGCATTAGAATGCACTTAGCTGAATAATGTAGCTTTTGGTTGAATCATTATGATTTTTAAATTGCGCTGGAAAAAATTATGCGAATTAAATTAGATCTTATATAGATTTGCTTAAAACTTAATACTTAAAAATGATATTGCTGTTTGATCTTTTTGAAATTTCATTTAAAAAATTTTAAAATTTACAAAATTAGTAATAAAAACAATCAGAAATTTATTATTTTTGATATGTTTGTATCTTACAGTTATAATTTTTTAATTATACCATTTTTAAAAATGTTAAAATAGAAAATATGCGTATTTCTAAAATATAAATATCTTAAAAATTTTTTTTATGAAGTATACTAAATTTTTAGCTTTTAGTTCTACCCTCTGCCTTTAGTGCAATTCAAACATCTTATGGCTTATAATTTGTAGTTTAAATTTTAATTAAAAAACAACTAATTTTAATTTTTAAAATTTGTGAGTATTTTATTATGAATACTTTGTATGTACAGTGGAATATTTCAAGTGCTTAATTGTTATAAATGATTGTTCAGGTTTTGATTTAAACCTGATTACATTGATTTAAAGCTGATTACAGTATTATCGTTCACTATAAAATTATATCATGTTTTTGATTTAAACCTGACTCAATAGTCTTCATAAAAAGGGCAACTTGAATTGCTATCTAACTCAAATTCCATTGTTTTCCCCAAAACTAGGCTATTTTTTAATGAAAAAAAATTGATTCTTCAGGTTTTGATTTAAACATGATTACCCTAGTATCAGTAATTCACTGAATGTTTCATGTTTTTGATTTAAACCTGACTCAATAGTCTTCATAAAAAGGGCAACTTGAATTGCTATCAAATTCAAATTCCATAATTTTTCCCAAAAAAGGCTATTTTTTTTTTTTGAAAAAAAAGAATTTCTTTAAATCACATGACTAAATTACGCTAAAAAATAATAAATAAAAATTTAATTTCTTTTCAACACTAGCATGACTAAGTTTCTCAACAGTGTATAAAAAAGAGATAAGATTTTGAATGTATAATTTCACAAGGCTTTAGTATTCTGTCATGTCTTAAGGCTGTTGTTTTCTACTTATTTAAAACTCGACCTACTCATTTTCTTTAAGAAATGTGTTAAAATAAATATTTGATTTTTGTGCATTTTACAAAATTACTGAAAAACAAACTGTTTATCAAAAAGCATATATTACTTAACTTATATTTTTGAGTAAAATATACGGTGTACCTATGCACATTCCACAAAATATATAATTTATAGAATATTTCTATATTAAGGTGGGCCCCCCCCCTTTAAAGAAAGATTGGCTTAATGTAGAACAAAACATTGCCAAAACTATAAGTTAATATTTAAGAATTTAGCTAGAAATGAATTAGATTGATATGTAATTAGGCTTATGGTATTATTTATGTTAATGATAATATTTTTTTTATTAAAATATAAATGAAAAATTGAACTTAAAAATTATACAGAAGAAATATTGAGTTATATTTTTACCAAAAAATAATAATAAACTAAACTTTAAAAGACTATAAATAAACCTTAATCAGCTTAAAAACATGATATGATGCAAGGTTAAAAAGGAATATTGATGCAAAGATGTCTGTCATTATTCAGGGGTTTGTCTAGGTTTTTTTGGAAGGTACCTATTTTGTGAAAATTTAGACATAATTTGTGAAAATTAAAAGTTAAATTAAAAAATCAACACCTAAATATTGTAAAATAAGAAATTATTTTCAAAAATTGTCACTACGAATAAAAACTATTTATGACTGGTAAATTTCTATAGATGTTTCCTCATATATTAAAAAATAATTTTGCTATTGTAAAATTTCGAGCTTAAAAGTTTTATACAAATTTCTTGCATTTAACATCATTATGAGAAAATTTTCAATTAGGTCATACAGAAAAAAGTTTCATAGGGAAATTTTTTTTCTCCATAAAATAAATGAAGGACTGTTAGAACAAATTTACAGTGAAGTTAAAGATAATGTTCGAATGTTTAGAATGATGCTCGAATTTTGACTTCCTGCATAGTTTATCGACATAGAACCTCATTGTTTCATTTTACGAAACTCTGGGATTTATAGTTTTTTATGGGGATACAAAAACAAAATTTTAAGTGGCGGAGAATCTTAGAACTTGCTTTTTTTAAGGTATTTTGTGAAACTACCGTTATTTCTAACGCTGAATTTGTGATGGTACCGCTAAATGGTAGTAAATTTGCCCTGGGCAGACCCCTGTTATAACTGTGTTGTTGCCAAAGAAAATTTTCTAACTTAATCAAATTTGCTTCCATATTTTATGGTGCCTATATCATGCATCATAAATGTTGTATAAACCAGTATTTGAAAGTAGTGCACATTTAAAAAAAATAATTTTATTAAATTCCTTTAAGAAAATGTGTAGTTGTATGCTCTAATATTCTAATCAACAGCCTTAAGATGTTTAGCTTGTCGCTTATTAAGTTTATTGTTTGAAATATTGCTTTGTCCAGATTTTCTGCTGGCCTGTTTCATTCAAAATATTCTTATGTTTAGCTCCTTATTAAAATTTTAGGATCACAGGAATCAAAATGGATTGGTTTACGTTATTAAATTTATGTTCTATCTTTTAGACAGTGAGTCAGCTTTATATCAATATTTTAGTTGGACATTGTTGAAAGTTGTTTATTTTATTTTTTTTGTGCAATGTTATATTATGTTTCAGTTTACATGAACATTATATTTAGTTACCTTCCCTGTGGCAGAATTTTTTCGGGCTTTCTGCGACAAACCTCACAAGCACTAATATCTTTTTCTGCAAGATACTTTAAATAATAACTAATATGCATGTTATTAATAAAATTTAATTTAACAAAACCG